CACAATTCATAACACGGACACACAAACAAGGAAACAGCACAGGTGCAACTTAATTTCAGGGTCCATTAGCAGCAAAAAGGGGAGAAAATTACACTTCCAAATGCAAGCTCTGGAACTCAGCAGGGACATTTTTCATTTTCAACTTTCAAAGGGTAGGAATAATAATTATGGCTGTTGTTTTTAACACATTGACTGCCACAGTAGAAAAAAATTTTTTTCCCCGGGGCCACAGATGTTTTATTAAAACAAAACAATCCTTTTTAATTTCTTATTTTTTATTATTTTTCTGTGCATGAGCTATAGGCAACACAATCCATGGTTTTAGAATTAAACTATCAATATTAATTGTAACGATAAGAACATCAACAAGTAAGATTTTCATGAATCAACTGCAGGGTATTGCTTCACAAAGCCCTGGCCTCAAAACTAGCCTGAGTTACATACAATTCACATGGCAGTCAATGTGTTAAGAACAGCATCCAAGTTCAAATACACTGCACTTCAACCTGCATGCTGCAAATGACCTTGGAAAAATGCAGGGCTGCCTGAAGTTCAGTTCGGACTAAATACCAGAAAACAGTCACTTGAGTTGTGCCTGCACCTTTGATTTAGCGATTGTGCTTTCTAAATGACTTTTGCAATAGTAAGTGTTCATAACAAAATGGGTCCTATCATTGTGTTTTGGCTTTTAGAGAACAGTCAACACTGACCAGTTATTCAGCTACCGTTGAATGACAACTAGTTATTGAGAGTGTAAATAACTACATACACATATACCCTTGTAGAGAGCTGCACAATGTCCTCATCCTCTAAAACTGTGGTCCCCAACTCCCAGTCTGCAGCCTGTTAGGGACAGGGCTGCAGAAGCTCCATGGCACCCCCCCCCCATATCCATCCATGGAAAAATTGTCTTCCATGAAACTTGGGAACTGGGGAGAGTGCACAGCAGGAGGTGAGCAGCAGGCAGAGCTTCATCTGTATTTACAGCTGCTCCCCATCCCTCCCATCACCACCTGAGCTCCGCTTGGTCCCTGGTGCCAAAAAGGTTGGGGGCCGCTGCTTTATCACACTCTAAAGCTGTAACTACCACATCCCGTGGAGATTCACAGAATCATCGATGTAAAGCTCAGTCATGACCGACAAAATAAGCAGTCCGACTTCTTAGGTGGTGTCTGCTGAGCTCTGAGAAAGGGAAATGACATACCAAGACCCACTTCCAAGCAAATCCCCATAAATACAGAGAAGAGGAACTATAAGGAGAAACTCCTCCTGGAAGTGAAACCAAATGCTGTCCCCTCTAGTATAATCCAATCCATGTGAGCAGTATTTATTGAGTACCTTCAACAGGTAAGGCTTTGACCAAGCCACTGACTAAGGCAGAACAAAGATAAATCAGACACTATCTCAGTTCTCAGAAGACAAGTATTTTCATTATCAAATATCTGTACTTTTTACATTTCCTCCATATCAAAAAATTACAGACTCAATCCTATTCACTCTACTTGTTCATTTAAGATCACAAAACTAGAGAAAGGCAGAATGGGTCTTTCCAAAAGCCATGGCATCATTCTGAAAGTGGGTAATTTACACAGGGAGCATTCAAGCCCTCTCAGGGAGTAAAGCTGGAGAAATTAATTTACTGTGTGATTAGTGGAAGGGTGGAGATTTTTTAAAATCTGCTTTTTCATTTCATTCCCCTTTTCTTCAACAAGATAAACAGAGCTCAAAAGTGGAGTTCAATCTGATTTCTTGATTTTAATAAAATTTGTTTCCACCTGAATTTCTCTAGAGGCACATTCGCCTTCACATTTAATGGATGATAATTTTGCGAAGAAAAGTCATTTTGGATAAGAGCTACACAGAACACAGCTAAAGAAAGAAAGGAAAGGGCACACACATACACACACAGGGCCATTCCTCTAAAGAAAATAAATTTAGGGAACCCTTCTGCAACTGCTATGGTACCCAATTTAGAGACAGTATATAGCCAGCCAAAAGATATATCAGCAAGCAATAAGACACAACAGTAAGCAATCAGAAACATCACTGAGCAATAAGACACCAGAGTCAGCAGTAAGACACACCAGGGAGAACATTTCTGAGCAATTACCACATGTCTCAATGCAGGAAGGGAGAATGAAAAACTTTGCTCAACTAGGAGCAGAACCCCATAAAACTGAGCTCTCTCAGCTCAGCAGCCATTACTGTGTTGACAAGAGGGGTCTGAGGGCCACCAGCAGGGCCACAGATCGGGAAGAGGGCAGAAGAGCAAGGAGGGGCTGCTCCCAAACAAGAACTGCCCACTTAATTCCTCGTCCTCCTTTCTGGCACCCTAATCCATAGATGTGACAGATAGTTAAAAAAAAGTGTTGGTTAACTGACAAGATATAAAGGACCCTCAAACTTCTGGGGGAAATGAAGGAGGATGATCAACACAGCTACATCCACTCTGGCCGACAGTGTCTAAGGAAGGGACGTCGCTGTGTGTGATTGCGCACACACACGTGCGTGCACATGCACACGCACACGCAGGGACCAGCTTTTATAAAGGTCAGCCGAGGGAGGAAACCCTGAGACAGAGAACTTCCTCATCAGACAGATTATTAAATACTCTAGGAAACTGAGCTCTTCTTCTCTGCAAGCCTTTAACAGTAGCACCTTTGTACAAACTCATTCTTTACAATAATTTACGAACAGAAGCAGGAGAAATGGAGCAAACACTCAATCTCTTCTCTACATGGCGCTAGGAGGTCTCAAGCTGAGCTCAGGATTCCAGCACCAATGGTTCGCCTCTCCCAAGTACTTAAACTCAATAAAACCTGGGAAACCACTTCCTTCCCAGAGATGCTACAAAGTACAGTTGTGTACCTTGGAGGGTCAGGAAGAGTAACTGGTATTTCCTGGATGGTTGTGAGACGTCAGTTTCCTCGTCTTCCCTCCCTCCCAGTTTTTTCTGGGTCACAATCCATTTCTGTCTATATCTCCTCCGTAAGGCACCTACGCCTCAATCCTACCCAGCTTCAGAGTTCACCGTCCTACAGGAAGCCTTCCACAGTCACCCCCCACCTCACCGTGACGATGCTTTGTGTTATCTTAGGAAAATATTAATAATACACATACCTAATTAACCAATCAAAATTGCAAAGGTATAGGCCATATCCTACACACACCTAAAAAATGTAAAAGTATGAGAATGTGGTTCATTATTAAAAACATGACTCTAAGCTTGCTCCTATTTTCCAAAAAAGGAAAAAAAAATACCATTCTGGTTCTTTAAATATCATTAAAAACACAGTACATTTAAAGGAGCCCCACTCAGAGTCAATGGCCTAGAGATGTGCTCAGGAGGTATTGTTAACTGAAACTAGCTTGATACACAGTACTAGGATCCCACCTGAAAGCAGCAGCCACCAAGTCCCTATCTCATTCCTGGAGGACAACCCATGACCCTGAGCTCTGCAACATGAAGCTCGGGTGGAAAAGTCTCTGTGGACCTGGCAACAAATAGGACAGCCAGAGACAACAGGATCTCACAGCAGAGGAGAGGATGACAGCAGGCGCGTTTGCATGGGACGGAGAGAGGGGGCAACACTGAAGACAGAACACCCCCTCCCACCTCCAGAATACGACGTAGAACAGTGATGTAGCCAGATAGGACCTTTCCAGCAGCATTCTCCACTGGGTGCAGGGGTGGGGAGCAGAGACTGGAGAGGCATGGCTTCCGTTTATTAATGAGCAGCTCAACACAGTGGGAGGGTTTCTTGTCTAATTACAGAAGCTGTTGGAAGTGCAAGGAAGACAGAATTTATGGCCTAGATGACACTGCCTCTGTGTTGTAATTAAAAGTTATTTTTAATATCTTTATTTAGTTGGACACTTTGGATTATTAGAAATTTATTTTGCAATTTAAAATTTGCTAAAGGGCAAAAGAACAAAAAGTAACACAACCAGTTTGCGTAATATGAAACAATTAAGTGTTATGACATTGGGAGGTGGGAAAGGAAAAGAATCTCTCCTCCTTCAGTCTGAATTGTTATGAGAAAGGAGGAGAGGGAAAGAAATAAGCTTAAAAGAATATGGAACTAGATTTTTAAAAGTAGAAACTAGATTTCAAAAGTAACTCACTTACTTTACCCATTAAACAGAGCTTGGCTACCACCCGCTTGAAGCATAGACAGTTTATTCACAACCATTCACCCAAAACACCTAATCCTAATCCTCAGGCTCTTTGTTTTGTCCTGGGTCCCTAGGAAACAGTGGGCACCCTAATAAGAGCAGTCCTGGCCCAAGCACAAAGACCCAGGGGCTGACCCCAGGCGGTGTGGTAGGGTAGAGGGTCCAAAGTGAGCTGTGGACAATGACATGCTGTGTATAATTTTGGGTTTTGTTTTTAATTGATTTTCCTGCTCTCATCCAATATTCTAGTTTCAAGAAGGGGCCAGACAAAATGCATCCCAGTGGCAATCGCATGGTAGTGCCCATGAGTGGCTACAGAATCTGGCCAGGACTACGCAAGGCCACACATCTCCTAAATGTCATTTCTAGAACTTATATTTTTCCATGTAGCATAGGAGACATTTTCTGCAATGGTGGCTCTTCTTTAATAGGGGGAAGAGAATATATTACATGTAACACTTTTGAAATTGTCTGATGGGAGTGGTGAGGAGAAAGGAACTCTAAAAGGCATAAACCTCTTCAATAACCTCTATGTTTCATGTAATCCATGCTATGAATCTTCTCATTAGAAGAGAATTCCAGGAGCTCATTGTGTACAAACGTGTCATAGAAACCACTGCATATTATACATCGTGATGAAACTATAAAGGTATTTTAACATCTGTTAATCAAAAATAAATTTAAACTTACCTTTACAACAGCCATACCAAGCTTACAGAATTTATGCTATATGGGTATCGGTAGGAACCACTGTGCTCCTTTATCCTTTCCCAGTCCAAGGCGAGGCTTGACTCTATGTCAGGACAGAGCACTGCCATCCTTACCTGCTACATTAATCTTCTCAAGTGCTACCAAGCTCGGAACAGCCGTGGTGGAGTTGGTCGAGTTTGTCCCTGTGCCATTGACAACGAGATTGTCCACCTTCGACTCTAACTTGCCAATGCGCTGCAAAATGTTATCCAGTAACACAGCAAGGGTTTTCTTCAGATCTGTAAAAGAAAATGCAGACAATTGTAAAACACTCTGGCCTCTGCATGCCTGTCTGGCTCGCTCTCCAACATGCAGCACAAAACTTCTCAAATGGCTCAGAAGCGGCACAAAAGATGTGTCCTAACAAACCACATCTTGAAGGTGACAGGGGCCATCTTCAACTGGCCCAGACCCTACTAAACCAATCAGTCTGCTGCAGAACCCAAATCTGGCAAGGAGTGACGTTATAAAACTACTTCCAGCTACCAGGTTGACAGAGCAAGCTGTTGCTTAGCATCCTACCATAGCACTGTATTAAATTCCTCCTCCTCAAAGCACAGTGGTTTCTGACCCAATGAATGACAAGCCAAAGCTGCAGCACGGCCCCAAAGCAGCCTGTGGGTCAAATTCATTGTTATTTTTAGTGTTGTGCACTCTATCATGTCCCAGTTTTTTTTTTTTTTTTTGAGAAGTGTTTATTTCCGTTGGTTACATATGGCAGCGCTTAATAAAAGCTACAGTCCCAGATTTCCAGGCATGCTGGGTAACCTAGAGTTGACTATAATCAGATTTAGAAAGATACTTAAAATAAAGAACTAGAGTCATTCACTTGCTCAAAAATATTTATTAAACAGTTACTATGTGCCAGGCATTGTTCTAAGATGCTGGGGATATTCTCTCATGGTGCTTACATTTAAGAGTTTATTCCCTTTCTTATATATCCGACTGTTCATTTAAAGAGTAGTGCACTTCCCTCTGGATAAATTATAGGAGGTTGTCTTTAACCCTATGTGAGCATTTACTAAGTTTATGGACAAGACATCTGAGGGGGCGGGGTGGGGAGAAGAAGAGACGAACTTAGACCCTGTCCTCTGGAAACTCATTATCAAAGATACACTGACTTGTATATAAGACAGACAGATGGGCAACAGGACAGCCTCCCACGTGGACAGAATCCAAACCCATTTCTGAATTGGGAGTGGGCCGGGGAGAAGTGCATAGTGTGGGTAGCAGGACTGAGAAAAGCCCTGAATTAAGACAATGGGAAGTTGCCACCTTCCATTCTGCTGGAAACAGACCAGATGCTGTGATCTGGCCAGGAAATAAACACACAAACCTGGTCAATCCACCAACCCAGACCACAGCCAACCAACCCTGGCCATGGTGCATCCAGGCTGCCTCATTTTGCCAAGTGAAGAGAAACTCTTCTGAAAAGAAACAGATATGCAACGAACGTGGAAGTTTATGTTCTTAGTGGTTTACAGACAGCATCACTTAAGCAGACTAAAAGGCCACAAACAGAAACAAAAACCACATCTTTATCCTGAAAGTCTGGTTCTCGGAATAAGACTTGTCCCAACAGCAAACATTTAGACTCTTCGACAATGTTAAGATGTGCAGATCGAATACTTGACAAGGCCCATTTTTTGCTCTTCAGTGTGTATCTTACCTACACAGGTACACAGTATTGTAAATATTTTTAAATTTTCTGTACATTATGATGTTTTGATGTGTTAAAAACCTTCCCGGTTGGACAGAGACTATCTCTTTTAACCAATTCTTAAAATCAAAAGGCCCAGCCCCAGAATCCAGTCTTTGATATGCAAACTAACCAACCCAAAGCCCTATCTCTTCTCTCTGGCCTACACTCGCAGAAGACAATAATTCCTCTGCCTTAACCATCCCAGAGACAGGTAACTAGGGACTGCCCCTATAGCCCAAAGCCCTCTGGGCTGGCCAATCCTAAACTGTCCAACTCAAATAAAGGCTCTGGCCTAAAGCTCCCCTAGATGTGTTCTGCCTCCAGATCACCCTGGTATCTTTCCCATGTGGCCCTGCACGGCATGTGGTGTCTGTCTCTGGGACCTGTGAGTAAAATGTGAGCTTCTGTGTCTCCTTCTGGCCACATTTGACCAACTCACAAAAGAATTACACAACATACACAAGCTACCGACAACTTCGGTGAAATCAGGTTAAGCAAAGATAGTGGAAGGGAACTAATGTCCCTGAATGCCTGTTATTTGCCACTCACATAGATAACCAAGTCTGTTTTATCTTTACCTCCTCTCTGTGAGGTAGGCGTGACTCCATTTTACAGGTGAGAAAACTGAGGTTCAAAGACATTAAGTAACATGGTAGTGGTTACAGAACTACTAACAATAAATCAGAATGAAGCCTTGCCTCAGGTTTGCCTAATTCCCCGATGCCTCACCGGGGCCGGTCAGGAGTCAGAACTCGGGTAGAATAAAGAAACCAAGGGTGAATTTTAGAGTCTTTCATCCGTAACAGTGGGTGAGTACCTAACTTTGGAGCCAGACTTCCTGGGCCTGAGTCCTGCCTCTCTGTTCCAGTTTCCTTGTCTGTAAAAGAGTGATATGAATAAGCCTCCTGCTTTGGGGTTGTTGCCAGGACTTAGTGAGTTAATATTTATACACTGCTTTGAACACTGCCTGACACGTAATAAGTAATGCATAACTGCCTGTTGAATATATAAATAAAACAAAACCTTCCTCTGGAAAATGCTGTCATCCTTCCCAAAGAAATCTCTCCTTGGGTGATGCAAAGCTTCATCATTTTCTTCAAAGGGTCACGAGATCACTGTCCTCTGGGGTGTGCAGTCCCACGGTCAGCATGAGTCACAGTCTGTCACTGGCACATGGTTAGCTGGCATGGACAACGGGACTCAGTCACCTGCTCTGCTCTGCCACTGAGTCTAAAGAATGAATCAATGGGCTCTCCAGAGTTCTGAAGATTGCCAGACACCAGCCTCACAGGTGGGGGCAGTCATGCCAGCGAGACGTGGCTACGTGCCACATAAAGAAACACTCCTCAGATATAGGAGATCAGTATCCACCGTTGCCGGCCTCTTTGCCTAAAGCTTATATCACCAGCCAACTACAATCTGAATAGAATCTAGAATAGCATTTAACTATTATATTGGCAATTGTAGTTAACCAAAGAAACCCTGGCCCTCCAATGTGACTTAACTCAGGGTTTCTCAACCTTGGCACTATTGACACTTTGGGCCCAGTAATTGTCGTCATGGGGACCGCCCTGGGCATTGTAGGATGTTTGGCAGCATCCCTGGCCTCTATCCACTAAATGATAGTAGCAATTCCCCAGCTGTGACAACCAAAAATGTCTCCAGACATTGCCAAACATCCCTTGGGGGGCAAAAGTGCCTTCATTGGAGAACCACTGAATTAGGTACATTCTCCCAATCGCTATATTGCCCACTGCCCTATGTGGAGATACTGAGAGGGAACCGCAGTAGGGGGGTTATGGGATAGGGACTGCAAGAGTTACAAGCCCATCAGTAAACTTGCGTCACATGTGACTTCTATCCACTGGAGGCCCTTCTGCAAACACGATGGGAAGTAGCAATGAGTGAAGTCTGCCTGTCTCCCCATGGGAGAGCTAACAGAAGACTAGCCCATGCTGAGGGGCACTCAAAGGCTGTTAACCTTTTGGAACCATGTTAAAGGCAACAGAACTACTAGACAGAGTCCACGACTCATAGTCATTGGCGACAGCCATTGGTGGAGCACATCCTAGGTAGGATACAAAGTCGTCACACTAACAAGAAGATATGCTCCCTCAATTCTCAAATTACATTCCACCGGCAAGTGTGACCTACTATCTCTTCTTGACCCCCTGACACAGATTGACCTTCTGCGAGTCTGTGACACGGTGTGAATACGGGAATTCATGATGATGAGGACGGACACTCATGCTGGCCATCCCAATTTCACCACCACCTACTCACCCATTCTATGTGCCAGCCACTGTGTACCTTACATAGACTAATCCTACTAAGACAATGAGGATTATTCCCATCCCCACCTTACGAATGAATAAACCACAGCACAGACAGGCTAAATGATTTGCCCCAGGTGACTGCAGACCCAGGAGTGAACCCAGACAAGTCTGCTTCCAGAGCTGATGGCTCTGACTCAGCATGCTCCACTATCTCTTAAGAACCACCATGGACCTGCCCACCAGCAAGCATCTCTGACCTGCCACTTCTGAACCTACTTGTCAGGGATTAACCTCTGGGATCCTGCCATGGGTTTTTGCTAAATCATATCCCAAACACTCTTAAGACTCTGATGCCACTGTCCCCTGGCAACTCTGTCCACCTGACCCAGTGTCACTAAACCTCAGCCAGCTGACATTGAGTTAGAGACTACCTGATACATCAAGTGATCCAACATTTAAAAAAATTAAGAATCTGCCTTTCTATATCTTCTGAGTTAAAAAGAAGATGGAATATAAAGGTATCAAAAACCTTTGATTCTCTAGGCACTTTACCTGGGTAGGTGTGTTTTCTCTTCCAATACAAAAGAAAAACAAGAGTTCATTTTCAACTCGAGCAGCTATTTGAGTCACCATTTCAAAGCAGTTCGACACAAAAGATATTGTTAATAAAACACATAAGGACAAAGATGATGTTAAGCCCATCTCTGTATTCTTATCAACTAAGCACAGTGCCTGGCACATTACTCAGTAAGTATGTGTTATGTAAGCGAAAAAATGAATGAATGAAACAAATGAAACTATAGTCCTCCCACAAATAAGGCTAAATGAATTACACCTTTTCAGGTGATGAAATTATTTCTCACCTTCATATTTTACAGTTAAACCTGCAAAAACTGTTAAAAATTTTATCTCAATTTAAAAAAAAATGGACTCTGTGTTTTAGCCTTAATGGTAACCCATTTATCCAGTAAGAACTGTATGCCAAAGAATAATTTCTATAGAGTTCAATTTTTAAAAGAGGGTGAAAATATTCCTCCAAATCCTAGTATGATATTTTTATACTTATCACTGTGTTTTATCATTATTGTAGCAGTAAAATGTGTCCTCAGCAGGATTATGATTTTCAATTACTAATGAGCTTTTAAAATTCTGTTTGTGCTTCAAAGCCTTAGAAATAAAAATTTAATCCCAACATTACTACTGCAATTCTGTATTCTTAAAATTTACTGTACATGACAACGAGAAGATCAAAGTAGTTGAA